GGTCCAACTATATTGAATTTTCAAAAAATCAAAAAAGAATTGGGAGATTTGTTTGGTTCCAAAAATCCTACAAGGGAAAAATATGCTTGGAACCGTGCTTTCAACTATTAAAAATAAATGATTTGGGACAATTTGAAAAGTCTATCTTAGTGAAAAAGAAGGCGAAGCAATATCCGCAATACGGAATACTATTATTCACGATGCTGAAAATCTTGGACTCGTACCTATATATGAAGCCAAATCTGGCAGAGAATCAACTATGGATCAGGAGCTCGACATCTGTAATAGAGTATATGAAATAGCAATGTACAACATGAGGAGGGTGTGTGTCACAATCAAGAAGTACAACGTGAGCAACTCAGATTCGACTCTTCACTGAAAAGGAAAATGAAGACTTGAAGCAAGTTGCATATGTCAACTATACTTTGAATGAATTCAAAGAACTGTCCCAAATATTGGGAGACTTTATGTTTGTTGATAATTGTAAACCTCAGTAAAGCTTTGTGATGTTTTGCATGTTTGGTAATTGAGATATTATTGGTTCAAAACTGTTTTTCTTCCCTAAAGTGTATATTTAGAGCTATAATATCTGAGGAAAAGTCAGACAAAACATACAATTTTATCGAAATTGACTTAAAACACTAACCAATTATGAAATGATTTTCCAGTATTTATTTATGAAATTACAGATAAATTTATTTAATAACTGTTTTCATCAAACTTTAGCTAAATTTTGCCTCAATTTAAAAAAATTACAAACAAGAATGTATATTTAGTTGAAAACATTATCATTATTTTTTTAGATTTTTTGAATTTCATTGGTTGTTTTCAATTTTTTTCTGCCTTAATTTGAGGATTTTATTGGCTACATGAATTTCCTTGAAACTAGTTAGACTCTAAATACTTTAAAAATGATAAAACAATTCGGGTTTTTTAAGTTTCTTCATATATTTCAGAAAGAAAAATGTTTCCATCAAAAGCGTTTTCAATGTCTGAATTGAATACTTATCAGATTTAAAAATTCAACTACTACAAAAAACTACAAGAGTGGTGGACAGATGAAGTTGATGGAGATTGTATTAGTTTTAATTTGTATAGAAACACAGAAAGTTCAATAGTTTTTTGATAAAAAGATGGAGAGGAGATTACAAAAAAGAAGAGTACTGTCAGATTTATCATCATTGTTTTTATTTAGAAGAATTAACTCAGATTGGGTGGTCGATCAGTAAAAAACAAAACAATGGAAGAGGCTATGAAACAGAAATTGGAGATAAGAAACAACAATTTGATTACTGTTTTGAATTTGATACAAATACAAAATCCAGACTTGTCAGAATATCTTTTGATAGTTTATCCAAATTTAATAGACTTCCGGTTGATTATACTACAATATACCAAAAAGAAAACGATAAAAACGTATATTTTGGTAATTTATTTTTTCACTGGTTAGAAATAGAACAAATCGGAAAAGTTTTGATCGGAATTTCAAAATTTGAATTGAATATCGAAAAAACAATATAAACTAGACAAGAAATCTCATTTATCCCACTAGGGTATCAAACTTCAAATCTTAGTTATGTTGGAAAAATTCAATAAAATTTATTGATTGAGAAATTTCATAAACATGGTCTGGTTCTGATCTACAAAGTGTTTAAAATCTGTGATTACGTCATACTGATTGGTTATTAACACAAATAATATCTGTGAAAGTATCCTCAAAATCTACAAATTTTAAAGAAATTGTTGAAAAATTCATGAGAAGAAGAGCTCATCTCTGATTGGTTGACTTTAAATTTCTTGAAAATTTCATGACTTTTGAAGCTCAATTCTGATTGGTGGACATTGAATTTGTCGAAAATCACATGACTATTGAAGCTCAATTCTGATTGGTTGATATCAGAAAAGATAAAAGTTTCCTGGTAATTATTGCTCGATTCTGATTGGTTGATACTTTTAAAAATTCTATGGTTAGATTGGACGATTTTTATTTCAGCTAGGCTAAATAGCATATCCATTCTGATTTTATTTCTCGTTAAAAACAATTGGTTATTAAGTGTGCTGTTTTTATTTACTTTTATTCATTTTTTGAGGCTATTCAACTCACCTTATCTAAAAATTTGGTACATTTTAAACCTCCCATTTAAGTTTTCATTACTATTGAGATGCCTTCACTCAATAGAAACGAAAGAGTTGCATGTCTTGAATGTGGCAGGGATTACACTCACAAAGATGCATCAAGACATCGTAGAACATGTGGTGTTTTGACGTGTTCTAACTGTAATTTTTGCAGACTCCAAACACACTTCAGGAAAAGGTAAAATTTTTATGTTTTTTTTTGGAAAACTTAGAAATTACTATGATTATTAGTTTTTACTGAATCTGAAAAGTCTCATCAATTGTAACAAATCTATTCGGTAATTATACAGTGTTTTCATTACATTACCTGAACTGTCATTTATTTTTTTATTCAAAGGTTTTGATTGATGTTAAAGACAGCAAAAATCGAATTCAAATCGTCATGAAGCTTACCATGGAACTCGATCCGAAAACTTTTAATCAACAGTAAAAACTCCCTTGGTTGCAAGCTTGCGGAGACTTTGTTGTGATAAATTTGTAGTAATGTGCATAACATATGCTAATGAGTATTTAAGTATTCGCCTAAGAATTGTAGAACTTGGATATTTGGAAAACATCAACTAATTGAAAGGTTTTTTCTGGTTACTATTTTAAAGTTTTCCTTGTTTAGTGCTTGTAAAAGTGTTCATAGAGCAGAGCTTTTCAAGTAGATAATGTGGTTTGAGATATTAGGAATTACGTTTTTCTATGGATTTTTTGATGATTTCAGAAAAGAAATTGATAAATGACCTAGAAAAAATGTATATTTTGCTAAACTTTGAAAGTTTCAAGATAATGATATAGAAATTCAGATGTAAAACAGCATTATACAGTTATGAGCTTGAGAAAATCCTTTAAAGCTTTTTAGTAAAGGATTTATGGTATTAATTCAGCTTCTGATTATTGATCGTTCGTTGAAACGATACATTTTTCCATCTTAAATTCAATTTTCAAGTAAAAATTTGCTCAAATTGGATTCAATTGGTAGATAGTAGATGAAGCAGAAACTGATAAAATGCTAAAATGAGATAGAAACCCAATTTAATCCTTAAGAGATTTGAGATACTTTTACTAAAATTTAGCTTATAAAGTACATCTTGAGAAAAAATCCGACATAAAAATTCTCAAAGTCTTATATTTATCCGTAATTCATTAGAAAAAATTGTTATCATTTGATATATTTGGTACTTTATAGGAAAGATCAAATGTTTTGAAGATAATTTTGAAAAGCAAACCCAATTCGACATCTTTTGGAAGAAGATACATAAAGCATAAATCGAAAATTTGCTTTCAAGATCTACTTTTCCTTGCTACACAATACTACATAGAATATACAACACTATATACAATACATTACTACATTTTTACTACATAGAGTTTTTTTCTTAATAAAAATCGGAAAACTACGCAATTGTTCCAGTTTGCACCTTGCTTTGCTTTGCTAAATCAATTTTTTGAGACTCGCTCTTTCAGAAGTTTTTATATTGTAGATGTTAGGAACTAGGTTCTCTTGCTTATTTCCGGAGATTTTCAGATTATAACTATAAGAGCTGCTCCTAATTTGTTCTTAGATCGTAAAAATACACCCTTATATTCTCATTGTTTACATTTACTTTTGAATGCTTTAACTAGCACCAATTCTTTCTCACTTGGATATTTTTGAGAAAATTTCTGTCAAAAATTAAGAAAAAAAGCAAGTTAATAACTATTTTGCAAGACAAGTGATAGTTAATGATTCCAAAATGTGTATTTTTGCTTAAATAGTTTACAATAGCAACTGAACAGGGGAACCTCGAGGAAGATATTAACCTTTTTTATTGTAATAATCGTACGGTATCAGTTCTAATTTCATCTCTGCTAGCAAATTGTTCGTTCAATTGATACTATTTTCCTCCTAAATTCTCCAGTTTTGACTAAATTTTCTAGTAAAGTGTGTTCAATAGCAAAAACATGTTTTAAACATGGAAAAACTCTACGGAAAATCTTGAAAGTTATGTTGCAGAAGCAACAGAGAGATAATCATCAGTTATGAAGAAGTTTTTGTTGAATTTGAGCCAATATCGAATAAATTTTTAAGAAACATTTATCCCATTTTAAAAACAGCTTTAGCAATAAACTGTTCATGTTTTATCAATAATCAGAAATTTCTAATTTTTAACATGAAAAATTTCTCACAAGTTGTTATTTTTGTACAAATTTGGGTCATTCAATGAGAAAAAAATGAGGAGGAGTTGAATCATGGAGTTTGATTTAGAAATTTCATAGGATATTACCCTTAATGTTCATTTGAATTGAGATTCCTAAAATTAATCCCTGAACTGGACAAAAAAAACAGTTAAAAACCAAAGTAAAGGTTCGAAATGGAAAATTTCATGTAAATTTGATTAATTTTTATTTTACTTTCTCGAAAATTACGACTAATTTCACTGTTTTCCGGAAGTTTCAATATTGATTCTGCTACTATGAACCTTCTTTTCAGTGTTTAGAGCATTGTATAACCAAATATTTAGCTCAAATTAAGGTAAACTTCATCGTATTTCAATATTTTGAGAAAAAATTGTTGAAAAAGTCATTTTTTTATTCAAAATTTTGTATCATTGTGTCAACATAATGCCGATAAACAAACAGTCTTAGCTTATTTTTAAAATCTATACGTAAAAGTATGTTTCAAATTAGATCAAAAGCAACAATACATTAGCCAAAATTATGAGATTTCTGCAATTTTTTCCAAATACTTGAAATTTTTGTAATTTTTTCCAAATACTTGAAACTTTTGCAATTTTTTCCAAACACTTGAAATTTTTGCAATTTTTTCTCAAAAAATTTGAATTTTTTCGAAGTTTTAGTAGGTTTCACCATTGTTTCAGTTAGATAGAAAGTAAGATTATTTAATAAGTTAGGTCAAATAATAGCTAACCTTATCGTGTTTTGAATTTTTTCGAAAAAGTTTTTTTGATAAAAATTCCAAGTTTTTGCACAAAAACTCTTACCATTGACTTACCATGCACCAAAAAACTAAATATATAACCTTTATTCTACAATCTACACGTAATTAACAATTAACTGTTCCCAATTAGATAACGCGCGCCGAGATTTTTGCGGAGAAATTAGACAAAAACCAAAAATTTTCGTTTTTCTTACCATTATCTTACCATCAAACTGAAACCTTACCATCGGTATTCCCTATCTTAATACATTGTAGACTCTATACCCAATCTTAATACATAGCATGGCGGACCGGAAATCTATAACGTATCTTAATACATGGGGTCCGCCATGCACCCCCCCCCCCCCCCCACTTAACCTCCAACATCTACTACTGTGGTGATGGCCAAAAAGAAAGGCGACTAATTGAGGTTTTGTTATGAATTTCGATACCTGAACTCCGTCACGGTGAAGGATGCCTATTCTATGCCTAGGAGTGATGAGAGCCTCTCAAAGTTAGGGGACGCAAAAATTGTTACGACTCTTGATTTAGGATCAGCCTTTTGACAGGTTCCACTGAGGAAGCAAGACAGGGATAAAACAGGGGTTGCCTGCGAGCTGGGGCTGTTTCAATGGAACAGGATGCTCTTTGGACTTTGCAACGCCACGGCTACGTTTCAACGATTGATGGCACATGCATTGATAGGTGTAACGAAGAAATACAGCAACCTGGTAATGTGCTACGTAGATGACGTGGTAATTGCGACACCGGCACTAGAAGACCACATCGAGCGACTAGACGAGGTGTTTGCCTGCAAGAAGAGATCGAGACTAAAATGCAAGCCATCAAAGTGCGAAATACTCAAGGACTCAATTAAATACCTGGGGAGGATGGTGGACAGACACGGCATCAGACCAGACCCAGATGCAGTAGAAGCAGTTCTGACCTGGAAATCGCCAAAAACGGAACACCAATTGATGAGCTTCCTGGGTTTTGCAAATTACTACAGAGAATTCATCAAAAGCTATGCAGACAAAGTTTACCCGATGCAACAATTAATGAGACACAAGGGCAAGAAGTTCACGTGGAACAACGCAACAGAAGTGTCATTCCAGAGAATAAAGAAAGAGTTGTGAGAGGCACCAGTACTAGGGATGCCAACAGAGAAAGGGATGTACGTGCTGGATACGGATGCGTCGGTAGTAGCGATTTCTGGAATTCTCCATCAGGAACAAGAGTGGAACGGGAAGACAGTCTTGATACCAAAAGCGTACGGGAGCAAATTCCTAAGTGACACGGAAATGAAGTACGGGGCACCGAAAGCGGAGATGTTCGCGGTGGTTACCTTTGTCGAGAAATATAGAGCATACCTAGTCAGCGAGCCATTCAAGCTGCGAGTCGACAACAGGGCACTAAGCTGGCTGAAAACGTACTCAATGGACCAAAGTTACATTGGGAGGTGGATAGTTCGCCTGGATGGATACAACATGATAATTGAGCATAGAACACGAGACAAACATCAAAACGCTGACAGCTTGCGCAAGAAGACGGAGTTCTACGAGAGACAAGAGCAGAGGGAGGCAGATAGAACACCAATTGATGAGCTTCCTGGGTTTTGCAAATTACTACAGAGAATTCATCAAAGGCTATGCAGACAAGGTTTACCCGATGCAACAATTAATGAGACACAAGGGCAAGAAGTTCACGTGGAACAACGCAGCAGAAGAGTCATTCCAGAGAAAAAAGAAGGAGTTGTGTGAAGCACCGGTGCCAGAGATGCCAACGGAAAAGAGAATGTACGTGCTGGAAACGGATGCATCGGTAGAAGCGATTTCTGGCATACGGCATCTTGCGACCGATAGCATACGGGAGTAAAGTCTTGAGTGATACGGAGATGAATCACAGGGCACCCGAAGCGAAGATGTTTGCAGTGGCTACCTTCGTCAAAAAATACAGGGCATACCTAGGCAGCGAGCCGTTCAAGTTACGAGTCGACAACAGGGCACTTAGCTGGTTGAAAACGTACTCAATGGATCAGAGCTACATAGGGAGATGGATAGTTCGCCTGGATGGATAGAACATGATAATTGAGCATAGGACGAGAGACAAACTTTAAAATACCGATAGCTTGAGTAAGAAGACGGAATTCTACGAGAGACAGGAACAGAGGGAGGTGGATGGGCCAGAAATTAAAGTTGTCTTCTCCTTCATAGATAAGGAAACGTATGATAGTCTTCCACTCACGAGATGGCTCGACAAGTCTGGCAAACCCATAGAAGATCACCCCGAACTACGAAAATAACGACCAGAGAAAACAATCTTGAAAAGGACCCAAGGGATGCCAATGGGGATAATACTCAAGTCAAAAATTGCGAGGGAGACACTCAAGGCAAAAGGCTATGATCTCAACCAAGTAGAAACGGGGAGAGCAGAGATATATGAACACTTGAGGAGTTTGGCAGACGATAAACTTGTGGTAAAAGAGAAGGGTGAAGAGGAACCAGAGGTCACGATATTGAGAAGAAGTGAGGCGGATGGTAGCGAGGACTCCTCGAAAGAAAAGAAACCGGATGGAAAAGAAGTCGTGCAGTTATTGGTTGAGAGGATCCCTGAACACATACTTGAGCGGACTATGGTTAGGAAGAACAAGGTAGCATTCAAGGAGGAGGCTGAACACCTCGGACTGAGTCAAGAGTCCGGGTAGTGGGACAATGCAGAGGAAGATGCTAAAGAAGAAAATTTGTCCGGGGAGTGTGAAGAATGGGATGAAGACTCAGAGAAAAGCAGCGATGACCAAGATAGTCTATGCATGATACTGGCAGAAGAGAAGATGAGGCACCGATATAGGGAACTACAAAGGGATCCCTCCTCAGGAACGTACAATTGGATCAGCAGGAGGTGCGCGGAGGTGAAGAACATGAAAGAATTGCAGTATCAAGGAAACCGTTCAGGGAGCTATCATGCAACTCGAATGTCAGAACAAATCAAATGCCAGAACATGACAGGAGGATAGTTTGCGTCAAACTGAAAGATAACATCCACAGTACCGGAGAAAATCAGAAATGCAAGATCAGAATAACCGAATTACAAACGCGGGAAATTAGTCAAAAAAAGCAGCGGGAAATTGCTATTCGCAATTTCCAGATATAAAAATCACACGAGAGTAGAGCTGTCCTATCCTGAAATAGGAGACAGAACGATTACGAAAGAAGAGTATATTGATTCGAAGTGGACCAGAGTGAACCTTTGGTGGAAAGGTGGACAATCGAAGTCTCCCAATGGTCCATCCAAAAACTTTAGTTCTCAAGTGAAAACTCATTTCCTTTGTTAGAATTTATTAATAGCAAAATAAGTTATTACATTTATGCTAGAGTCGTTAGTTAATTTACTTACTCCAATTCTCGAGTGTGCTGGTATGTGAGTACCCAATTTAGTTTTCTTGAGTGTGTTTTATAATCGTTATGTTGAGGTAAGATGAGTTTTAGGTTGATCAATCTGCAATGGATCAAAATTCCACTGTCTAATAAAAAGTAACTGTACGGACTGTTCGACCCTGTTTTCAACGGCGTTCGCGTATTTTTAGACCTAAGTATGCGGACGTTCTTATTTTCTAGAGTGGGGGGTATTTTGGTAGTGGCCTTTGAGCTGTAACGCGGGTTTTAGTCTCATGTCGCAAGTGAACCGAATTGGCTCCGACCATCCGAGGTGGAAAAACACAAGAGATAGTGTCCCTGACTCTTGACCCAATAGTTAGAGGGCCTATTTTTATTTAACCTCATACGTGACTCAAGTAGGTGACTGTTACATAGTGTTTTAATGGCGCTCCCGGAAGTTTTTACGACATCATGACTACGGAGTCGAACCCACTTGACACAGCTCCGGGCTACATGCCCATTCTAGAGTACCGGTCGTACGGTTCAGCGGGAAGGTGTAAGCCTTCCGGTCGTACCGTGATAGCTTTTTAAAAAAATTTGAGAAAACTTCCTGGTACGCTCTCCGAACGAGGCCTAGCTAACCGAGTAAGGACAGGTAACTAGTGCGACTAGAAACGAGCAAAAAAAACACAAAGCGAAACAAAAACCGAAAACGAATAGAAGAAGGAACAAAAACCATAAAATAAAAAATGACAGTAACTTTGACACCAGATTAGTTGGATCAAGTCTTTATATTAAATAAAAAGTGTACCCATACTGTTTTCATCAGACCAATCGTTTCGATCATTTCAGCAAATTAAAAAAGTGCCCGAGTGTGGGCATTGTCAAGGGTTTTCAGATAGCTTGCAACTTAACTGGACCACTTGGAGATTTGACTGGAAAAGGTGACCAGCCAAGTAGGAAAATGGTTTACAAGAAGGGAACCCGACAAAGGCTGGACACGACAAGGGCACATCAAGCACCGACGGGACCGAACAGAGAAGGCACACAGGGTGTTCTGTTAAGTCAATCGACAAACCACTGGGATGTTGGACTAGATGAGTTGACCAGCCAGAAAGTGGTGCTGGAGAGAGGTGCTGGACAAGCCAAGCAGACAACCAGCACGGAATCAGAACAACCAGAGGGGGACACACAGAAGTGTTCTGGTTGGTCAATCGGGTATCGTTAGAATCCACAATACATTATAGGAGATAAGTGTAAAATTGGATAGGCGGAACCCCACTGTTTTGAGGAACGTTTTTACTTGAGCAGAGCTTGGAAACGATTCTACGGTTTTCTCTCGAGAGGTTTAGCACCCAGCGCTTAAGGTAATTTTCGGCTTAAGAGGGGTGCTAAATAGTAGGGAGGTTAGAAGGGGGGGGGCTGCTTAGGTTAGAGGTTTGTGGTTGCAAATTGTAAAAAGGGGGACACGTTAAAGTAACTAACATTCGATATCGTCGATTTAGTTGCATTATAATCTTACACGCTTGAATTAAAGAGAGAGGATATCCAAATTTAAGATCGATTTAAGGTAGGTACATTGGTCGGATTAGGTGGGG